AAATGCGTGTAAGCATATTTTCATATCCACCTATAATAAAATAAAATTTTTCTTGATATTCCAATGTTAGTGCATTATTTGATTTTTTACTAATGTCTTCATCTTTTTTTTTGTATTTTTTGAAACAACTTAGTGATATCTTTAAGGGACGCCATTGGCGTTCGCTGATGTCTTCATTAGTCATTGCTGTCAATTGAAATACGCTAATTAGTCATTGCTATCAATTGAAATATATATTGACAAGGTTAAATTCTAAACAAGCCAAAAATAATTAAACCATTTGAATAAATTTACCGCAATATTTAAATCAGATCAGGGTTTTCAGTTTCAGATACAACAAAACACTTTACACTCATTTGTAATAACATACAACAAATAAAATTAAAGAAAAAAAAAAAAATAGAATAGCATTTATTATGGATAAAAATACTTTGTATAATATTACCAACTAAACTATTTACAATTAATTTCTTATGGGATCAGTCTCAATCATACCAACCATCGGAATCATCCCATGTTACTTTCTTACCTGAAATTTTAGAATTACATAAACTATTTTCATTCCATATCGTGGAATGCGCAACAATAGTACTGTTGGATGACCAGCATCCTAGATCTTCACCATAACATGCTTGCCGCATGTAATGGATTTCCTTACATAGTTCACAATGTCGTTCATTGATATTAATTTCCTCGGCCTTAGTAATGAGGGCCCCTTTTATTTCTTTATGGTAATATATTTTTAATATTATAAGCTTAAAATCCTTTGAAATTTTTCCCTCACAGGTATTCAAATGTTCAATTATAGCTTGAACATCATAATTATCAGTTACGAAGCTACATTTTTTCCATTGTGTTGCTTTTCCATCGGATGAAAATTGAACTGGATATATGAGACCACATGCATATTGACATCTATAATCAAGATGCAAACGTTTACATCTTGAACAGCATGTGTGAAAACTAGACCTATGACATAATGGACATGGGGTTTTTTTATTCCTGTGCTTAAGAAAATCACCGTTGATTTTAAAATCATTTACCAAGCTGAAAAAGGTTTCGGGATCTATATTAATATGCAATTGAAATCCCCTTGAAAAGAACTCTTGCACTGAAATAAATTCCTTTCTAAGAGGTGGCGACGGTGGAGGAGTAATAGTGAGACTACTTGGAGAATGTGAAAATAAAGATGATGTATAAAATGATGATGCATCACCCCCCCTATTCAAACGTGATTGGAGGATTTTAAATAAATTTTGAGCCTCGCAAATAGTTAAAGAATTAGCGAGCTTAATAAGATCGATTTGGGAAGTTGAAACTGTGATTTCAGGCATTTTGAAAATTGAAGATTGTAGTATGAATATAGAAATTATAATACGTATGAGTTTTGAATTGAGTTTGACATAGAATCGATCTGTGGAATTTATAATTATTCCCTGTTACACCCGATACATGATCTACAGCATAGCGAGCTTTCATCGTAATTGGCCAATTTTTGTAGTTCATCCCGTGATGTTGTAAAAATTTGATTGGTTAATCGAAGATTTAAATCGAATCGTTGCAAGAAAACTAATATATATGAAATAATTATATTTGTAACTAAATTAATACTG